AGGGGAGAGTGGGGCACATTCGTGCATGGGGCACATTCGTTTTCAGCAATTTATGGGAACACGAGTGACTGCACGAGCTAAAGGTAAATATGAAAATATGTCTATCATTGCCGCCCTTCGTTCACTGTAGGAGACAACACTGTACCTGATGTCATGCTTGATAAAAACGCAAATTTGTCATATTCGTGGGCTTTCCAAACTTTTCTCATATCATCCATTTTCGTGATCCTGACTCGGAAATGTGGTTTAACTTTTCAAAATTGGGTCCGAAGAAGCTCACTCTATTCACGGAACTGCTGCAAACTTGTTTGTTGAAAAACTGTCATTTTTTCAATAAGAAATTTTGAATTAGGTATATTACAAATAGTGTTGTGGGGCAGGTTCGTGCACGCACTGCCTAGGGGCACATTCCTGCATATTTTTTTTCGTTTTTGCGATTTATGACTTTATCTGTAGTAGCGACGCTCGCCTGACTCAGTCTCGGCTGCTTGCGACGTCATGACAAGTAATTCACGTGACCCTTGGAGAGGTCACGGAGGCGGGTCGATGGCCGGCGGTTGGCACATTCTTGTTGGTCAGCCAATTCTTTCTACATACGTTGTGCAATGCATTCCTGTGGAAAGGAATCAAGTAAAATGACCCCCTGCTCATTTCTTTTGGTAAATTTCTTGCAATGCCCGGTAATTCATTTAATTTTGCGGGGTGCACGGAAGTGCCCCACCCCATGCACGAATGTGCCCCATACCTGGGGCAGTTTCGTGCAAACGTTAAGAGTTATTAAAAGTCATTTTTCTAATAGAAGCGGTAACTTTAGAGGATAAGTTTTAAGAGGAAAAATATGTGCAATAGTTCCTTTCCATACTACAATCAACAATTTTGCCGTTGCACTAACCAAAGAACAGATATATGGATTTATCCATTTTTTGCACGAATGTGCCCCACTCTCCCCTACCTATCGCAGTGCTACCGACCAGCTGACTAGCAGCCCCTCGACTCCCCAGCTGGACCCGAGTGGACGCTGCAGGCCGAGACAGGCAGCCGCCATTCGGCGCTATGGCCAGCCCGCATCTGCCCGGGCCCATGGTCAAGGTGCTGATCCCCTCTGATGGATGCGCCGACGGCGGTTCATTATTAGACCGCCGGAGCGACCGGGCGCGGGACTGTCCCACCGGCAGCTGACCTCTGGGGGCTGACCACCAGCAGCTGTCCTCTGACCGCTGTCAGGTGACCCCTGACAATCGGAGGTTGACCTCTGACTGACGGTATCTGACCTGTCACCGCTGTCAGGTAACCCCTGACCACTGGCGGTTGACCTCTGACTGACGACAGCTGACCTCTGGGCTGCGACCGCGACAGCAGCCGACCTCTGACCACCTGAAGCTAGCATCTGACCACCGGAAACTGATCGGTGACCACCTGACCCCTGACCAGCTGACCTCTGACTACCGGCAGCTGACCGCTGACCACCGGAAACTTACCGCTGACCTCTGACCACCGGAAGCTGACCGCTGATCCCTGATCAGCTGCCGCTCCCCCGGGCCGACCCGACGTGGACAGAGATGAACGTCCAGTCAATAATGGTCACTGACCCGTGCGAGTGGTGGAGGTGTCCACGTGAGACCGGAAACCGTCAGACACCGGTCTGCTTTATCTGAGAGGGTGCTCTGCGTCAATGGCCTTTGTAGTTAAGACTTAAGACATCTGTCAATGTCAACTTCTACCAACCGGAAGTACTTCGATAAAATTAAAATATAAAGTAAAATTATAAGAGCTACGATAGTTTCGAGTTAAGTCGGAGTTTCAGGCTCTTTGCTTTCGTTGCAGCAAGCTTTCACAGAACGTTGTCTTGCATATCAGCTAAACGAACCACCAAAGGTTTTTGCGTTAACTTAGATGATTCATGGTTGAAAACAAGAAACCATTCTTTGAATTAGGATTAACGGAGGCATCAGACATGCATCTGATCTTGTGAAAACGGGTCGATCAATAAATGTAGCCCAGTTGTTCATCGATTTGTCTCGTTTATAATTCATATATTTGCGGAATTAAATAGGAATAATTGTTTCTACATGTTCCAGTTGTGTGCCAATGACTGTTTTACCTCGATCTTTGGCATCAAAGGACATCACCAAATCGTGTCAGCGACGCTCTGACCTCAGCTGCCAGGATTGACCTTTGTTGCTGCCGCTTCCGGTTGGCCCCGAGAAGTTACCAAACTCATCCAGATAGCGCGAAGTTTGGACCAGAGTACAGCGTGCCGAATGCAGCCTCAGAAAACGATCACACGCCCGCGCCAAGTGATACGGTGATTCAAAGCAATAAGGGTTGTGCGAGTGATTGTAGTGTATTGGAGCCCATGACAATAGGTGTGCTTCATGCTTGTCTGCTTATACTGATGTTTTCACGAGACTGCTTAGATGAATAGGTACAATAATTTTCATTCTTGAATTTAGTAGTATTTAACGGATTTATTGACATACATTCAGCAGAGCGGTAAAGTTCAGCTAGACTCCAGCTCTGAGCTCAGCGAGCACACTCACGCCATGCAATATGCATCCGCTGATGTTTGTCCTCTGTTGTACCGTCACTCTCAGTCCTGCCACCGCCCTCAGCTGCTCTGACCCGACCTCCAGCGACCTGGCTGGCTCTGACGCGGCCGTAACCGCCCGTCCGGTGACCGCCTCCCCCTTAGGCCCTTACCTCTGGTCACCGGCGGACTGTAAGCTAATATCTAATCGGTTTATCACGATATATTCTCAGTACTCTACCTCGCCGCAAAGGCCAGCGTGTGTCAACGTCAACAGATTGATAAACTCTGGACAAACCCTTCCTGTCGGGTTTCGGCAGGGAAGTTCCCCCTATATGTTGTCTTGCATCACCGTGCCGGGGAGATAGCATCCGTGTCGTGCTTTCATGGCAGTGCCACTGCGCCACCGTGTTTCACGCATCCCAGGCACGGCCTAATTAGCGCTGCTTTATCTTATCGGGCGTCATGTAAGTACATAACTAACCTAAACGGCGGTGAGCGCGATCGACCGGGCTGGCGGATCCGGCTCGCCCCGCGCCGCCGGCCGCTCCCGGGGAGGGCCCCCGAGACCCGCCGGGACCCGCGGCCAACTGTGTCCAGCCGGTCAGCCAGTAACGCAATCATGGACTATTGAAGTGTTAAGTTTATTTGTCTTTACGTATTTTCATATTTATTTGCAAGCATTCCTTTTGGTGATGTTCACCGCAGAAGTCCGAAATCAAGGATCCTGAATGGCAAACAGAATGGAATGAAAATGCAGGATTGTAGGGAAGTCACAGGGGTGGGCGAAAACCATGTAATTATTTTTGCCATCATTCGTTTGAACTTCGAGAACAATCAGGAACCGATGTCAACCGATACACATCATTACCGATGTTAAACACGATCCCTTCCGTCAAAGACTGACCGCGCCTTTAGCCACCTTTTTATTCAGTCCAGCATGCCAGCATGAGAGACGTCCACTCGATCATTCAACAACACCAACCGAACAGGTAAACTACACCGGCAATTCTACACAATATGCACGTCACCACACTGATATTCCTTCACCCTCTCGCCCGATATTCCTCGCCCGACCACCCCGTCGCGCCGGCCTCGCGCCGCGGGGAGTTATACTGTGCCGCAGCACACGCACGGGTAGACTGTGCCGCAATGCTCCCATGCTGTGCTGCACCGCAGCCAGCGCCATAGAGAAAGGAGCTCTGTGACGGTGGAGTTTTGGTGGCGAGGTATCATGAGAGCAGTAGGTATTGGTGAAAGTCTTAATGAGAATATTGGTCAGTGCTGTTTGAATACCGAATAGCTAAAGGTGGCGGCGCCTATATAATCAACGTTTTTCAGTGAGACTTTCCAGTGAGAGTTACAGAGCAGTGATGATGAGAAATCATCACGCTTGGAAACTGAAATGTGCCAACGCTTGGAAACTGGAGAGTGACATGCGCTACAAGTTGTATAGACCCTGTGGGATATGATTAATGTGGTTATCTTCGAAGGCCTTACGACAACATCCACACTCCACAACTTACTTCATTGAAGTAGCAGCAATGTTATAGGCATGCATTACCTACCTATGAGACGTGAGATTGATTATCATGAATAAAGTTGTAGATAAATCAGTGGGCTATGGGCTGTATTTACAAGTTAAATTTGACATCTAGTACCGTAAATTGTCAAGACAGTCAATAAGTGTGTGACTTGTGTCATGTGTGTGACTGAGTGAGAGAGAGAGAGAGAGAGAGAGAGAGAGAGAGAGAGAGAGAGAGAGAGAGAGAGAGAGAGAGAGAGAGAGAGAGAGAGAGAGAGAGCGAGAGCGAGCGAGAGAGAGAGAGAGAGAGAGAGAGAGAGAGAGAGAGAGAGAGAGAGAGAGAGAGAGAGAGAGAGAGAGAGAGAGAGAGAGAGAGAGAGAGAGAGAGAGAGAGAGAAGAACAGAAATGGGCAGCAGTCTGAAAGAAGCACCACAGTGAAGGAAAGAATGAAAAGGTCGTTTCACGGGAAAGGCTTAGAGGCATTGACATTATCTCTGACCGAATCGCGAGTAAAGGTACATGGTCTGGAAAACTGTCCCACTCCCACTGTCTAACATTTCTTTGACGACACATTAAATCCGGCTGAAAGTAGGGCGGCTCGCTAATGAGATACGCCCGACTGAGGTTTAACGTTTGCCTGTACGTATAACGGGCTGCGTTTTTTAGCATGTAACGTCTCTCTGACGTTCTCTAAGCCGGCGTTTGGTCGCTGTCCGGCTGAGCTGGGTGAAGGACGACCTGCTGGGTCGGCGGAATGCAGGGGAGCCCCGTCGGTCGGCGGCCCCGTCTCCGGCACAAATAATCGCCGGCCCAGCTGACGCGTCGCCGTCGGCGGCGGCGGGGCGCCTGCGCCGCCCCCGCCCAGCAGTCGATCGTGCGCGGCCGCGGCGCTGGCCGCTCCTCCGTTTACATTGCGCCCGCGCTGCCACCTGGCGTCGAAAATTCTGTCGCCATCCAAGATGGCCGTCGCCAGGAGTGAGCTGCAGTGAGCGCGGTGTGATGCCGGTGGCAGCGGCCCAGGCGAGACGTGCAGCGCGCGAGCACAGGGCCGGCTGGCGGCCGCTGTCATGCGGCGGGCGCTGAGGCCGCCGGCAGCAGCAGCACCAGCAGCGAGGCCGGCATCGGCCGCCGGCCACCATGGCCGGCTGGCTGGCGGCGCGGCTTGACGCGCAGCTCGGGGACCTGTCGCAGCGCTGGCGGCGGTGTCTCGCCTCTCTGCTCCTCTTCACAATCATCCTGACCAACAACTTTGGCGTGTCCAGCTCGCGGACGGACGTGCGGAGCGGCCGGCCGCGCTGCCCGGCCGGCGCTCCGCTCCCGCTGCCCCAGTGCCTTGAGGACAGTGACGGCCGCAGTGCGACCGACCCCACCGGGTCGCCGCCTCTCCCCGGCCTCAACAGTTGTTGTCAAATCAATTTTTATGATGCGTTGAACTGCACAGCCAGCCTGTCGGACGGCAGGACCAGCCAAGACTGCCGTGAGCGTGTGAAATTATTGCAGGAGCGTGATAGGCTAGTTGAAATGCATTACGCCAATTTCGTATCAATTGTGGACCGACTCGACTGCACCGACACCTACTCAGTGATTTATACTTGCTCTCAATGTAAGGTAAGTCACCCGAAGGCTGGAGGAGCGACAGCCGCAGATAACGCCGTTCTGTCGTGGTAAAACAGCAATGTGCTATAAGCATGTCTTGTTTGGCCTAAGCGTCATAGGCATTTACTTCATAGAAATCCGACATGGGTGCATGTGATAAGAACAATGCCTTTTTTCATTGATAAGCGTGTTGCTTGAGAAACAATGCTCCTTGACCAGTCGTTTTATCTTATGTGACACCCAAATGACCTTCACCAGAATGTATGGGCTGTTTCATTAGGAAAAGGGTATTTACGTTCTGTATAACAATGCCTTTTCACAAGCCAACATTCTGAGGTGATCATTGAACCCCAATGTTTCCTAATCGCCATCAGTCGACTGTCTTATTCTTACACCATGTCTATCCTAATGGAAAATCTTCCACCCACTCTCGCACGAGGAGCTCGATAGTTCAGCTCGTTGTGCGCTCGGGAGAGGGCCAGCCGAGCACGTCCGGCCGTCCTGTGTCCGCCGGCGCCGAGTCCGCTATGTGCCGAGAGGCCGCCCCTCCCCGGCGCCATGTACCTCGCATCTTGAGGACCGCGTCTGCGTCCCATGATGGCCCGGAAAGTGGCCCCTCTGCAATTTGTGTCGGCACGGCCCGGTGGGAGAGAGGTCGGAGCGGCCGGGCAGAGGGCGGGCGCAGTATTGATTGACGCCCCACCGACTGGCCGACTCGGCCGGCGCTGGCGGCGGCCGTATCGCACCGCCCGCACGGCGCCGTGTAACACGGTAACACACGGTAACACGGCGCGGCACGGTAGCCTAGACACGCGGCACGGCACGGTAACGCGACAAGGCACGGCAACATGGTAACACGATACGGTAACACAATAACGCGACATGGTAAATAGCTCGGTAACACGGCACGGTAACACGGTACACCAGCGACACGGCATGGTAACACAGTACAGGGACGATACAGTAGGAAGGCACACAGCATGGCATGGTAGCAGCGTGACGCTGGCAGAGCACAGCTCAGCAACGCGGCACGGCACAGAATATGACACGGCGTGCTCACACGGTAACATGACATGGTGTCTGATGGAAACGACATGGTCCATGAAAACTTCGAGTGATATCTAATAACATGGCACAGCAGTACATACCTACCTACCTACCGAGAGCGCAACTGGCGACGCCAGTACGATGACCACCATAACTAATATAGCCATAACATGACAGGCGCGTATAGTTACCTGTGCAAAAGGAAAGGCATGCCGCGTGAGAAAACCATGTTTTCTCCGCATAACTTATTCTGACGAGCCGCTCAGCGGTGAGCCAGGTTCAACTGGGCTTTTCTATGTCTTTTAAAGCTACCGTTACCTTTGGCCTCCATTAACCCTCGCCCATGTAGGGGGGGTTGGTGCAACCCCCCCCCCTGAGGCTTTTCGGAAATAGTGCAAAAACGGCGGCGCGCAGCGCCGCCAAATTTTGGGTACCTTATGGGGCAAACCTTGCGCATCTTTTGATAAAAAAAATTGACCGGGTCATGTCAGGTCACGGAGTTATGACGTCACAAAGGGAACAGCCTCCGGCCGGATTTTCACAAACTGAGTGCCAACGCCCGAGGTTTCCTGCCGGTGGTACGGACATCGGTTGATGGATCGTGATGAAACTTCCCATGCATGTTGGGGCAAGTATTGGCTATCATATGGTATAAGAAACTTGACCGGGTCAGGTCAGGTCACGGAGCTATGACGTCACAAGAGGAACAGCGTCCGGTACTATTTTTGAAAAGCGCCCGAACCACTATTTTGCTGATTCTTGTCACCTCAATGGGAATATGCAGCAATATTAGCTTCTATAGGGAGCAAATGGACCTTCCAAATCCAAAAATACAATCAGATTTCAAAAATTTAAATTTTTATTTTTCGAATTTCTGCCGCCGACTGTGACCTTGCCGACTTCCGGCGCTCCCAACGCGCCATTTTTAGAGCTAGGGAAACGAAATACATACCAAACGATAGAGAATTGATCAAGGAACACGATAGTGAAGGTGTCAAGTCGATATCTCCCACCGTTTTGCCGCAATCGCCGCGGAAAGTTGAAAAAGTCTATTTTTCCGAAAACTTGACCTTTGACCGGTCAAAAGTAGGTCAAATGTTGACCTAGGACCAAAAAACATACCACCAATCGCGAGATCTCGGCGAGAGCAATCCGTTCGTCTTTTCCGCTAAGCTCTACGACGCTCCGTTTTCAAACGCCAAGGGGGGGGCCGCACCCCCCCCCCCTGCATGGGCGAAGGTGGCAGATCGCCGTTTACGGGCGAGGGTTAAAGCCCACTTTAGACTATTGATTGCCTGATTTTGAGGCATCCTGCGTCATATTGGGCTTCGCAAAGATAAATTCTTACATCGTTCGGAGCCCTCAGGTCGTCCCTTAGCTTTGTTAGTGTCCTGCCACGAGGTCTGGTCAGATCATCTTTACACAGTGGTAGCTCATACACACGATGTAGGAGCTCTTGGAGCTTTTAAATGCGCTTGGTTGGCTAGGCATACATATAGGCCTCAACTGCACTTTGCTGAAGGAACATATGAACAGAGCATGTCATTATAACCCGCATGACAGCCTGGTTAATGGAATGCTCTGAAAATGCCATCCAGACACCAAAACTTTCCTCCAGGGATCGTGCACCTTTCCAAGGCTCCAACCTTCTTGAGGTCACGTCATCATCTCAAACCTCTGATCACTTCCGGTTTTCTGCCCTACTACGCGTCTTCATCCATTATCTACTAAGTAGTGCACACGCTTTGTGGTTTACTTTGTATTTCCGAGCTTCAACAAGCACTTTAGGTATGTACCTAGAAGACGTTCCCACAAACCAATAGTTTTTGGTAAACGCTACCATAAATCATTCGGTGGTCCTACTACCTATAATCGTCCTTTATCCTATCCCGAATGTTTTTAATTACTCTGATAAACTTGAAGCTCGCTTAAAAAGTATTCGGGTTCAGTTTGTTGCGCCACAACGTAATATCTGACTTTCCATTTGAGGTGCAGCGACTCAAAACTTAGTGATCATCCCACACCGGTCATGTTTCACTGCGGGTGTTTTCTTATCATCCGGATAGAATATGATCGGCAACGGGACCATGTCTATCCAGCTTTTCCTAGACACTCTGAAATTTCCAATAGAATTCCACCCGGAATGTGCGCAGCAAGCACCGCTGGCTTTTGACCTTAGAAAATCTCGGCACACAAAATATGAGCTCTAAACTAAAAATGGCACGACATCGCATGATTTCACCACCGTTCCCGACATAGCACTGGCATGTTCCTGGATGGTACATGTAGATCGCAGCGCCTCGGGGCGCGATTAAGCACGACGTCGGACGTGGTGCTTGCGACACCGGACACGACATTTTGACGACACTGACGCATTACAACACATCAGAAACTGTATTATGCACAGGTAGCGCCACATGACACATCGACACAGGTAACGCCACGTGACACATCGACACAGGTAACGCCACATGACACATTGACACAGGTAACGCCACATTACTCACATTGACACAGGTAACGCCACATGACACATTGACACAGGTAACGCCACATGACACGACATGCAGGTAACGCCACATGACACGACACAGGTAACGCCACATTACTTACATTGCCACGGTAACGCCACATGACGCATTGACGTGGTAAATAACTGGGCAACTCGCGTTTCGGCACTGCATGAGAAGGTCAAAGCGTTAATTTAAGTTAGCGATTGTTAAGCTGCATTAGAGATCGATTTACCCATCCTTGAGTTGGACCTTCCCAGTAAAATCACTCTAGCCACATGCAAGCCATTAATTACAAAGCCTCGTATGTTTGAATGGACGAATTGCCAGGCTGGGGGGCCGCGACGTTCAGCAGAGCTGTTGCGTAGCGTACTCCCCAACCCCTGCCGGCCGCTCAGACGTACCGGTAATTGGGATAATTAGGATGTCAAAGTTTAGTGTGACCATCAAAGCCGGATACGGTCCGTCGCACTCACCGACTTCAATCGGTCGCGGCTGCTCCCACCAACCACTGACCATCCCCGCTAGGAGTCTCAAAAATCGAGCGCCGGAACGTCTCGAACCCGGGCTCTCACTTCCGGGAGTCCAACGCCCTACCTGCGGAATGGACAACTTAACGGGTTATCCAAATCAACGCTTGTCTTGCCCAGTCGCGTCACATGCTATCCTTTTTGTTAGGATGGGATCCATGTGAGTGTTGACCTCAGGTCATGGTCAATTGGAGTCCGGTCAGGTTAGGACCCTGGTCTAGTGAAGTCGAGTTAGTTTACATGCTACTCGGATTTGTCAGCGCATTCTGTACTAAGACTAACGATATATAGTGTGACTCACGCTGCTTAGCTGCACTGAGGCACAGTCTAGCCAACGGGGTTTAGCCGTACTGTGGCACAGTCTATATAACGACGTTTAACTGTACTGCGGCACACTCTATCTCACGGCGTTAAGCTGTGCTGCGGCACAGTCTATATTACGACGTTTATCTGTACTGCGGCACACTCTATCTCACGGCGTTAAGCTGTGCTGCGGCACAGTCTACCTTACGGCGCCCGGCTGTACTGCGGCACACTCTATCTCACGGCGTTAAGCTGTGCTGCGGCACAGTCTATCTTACGGCGCTCGGCTGTACTGCGGCACAGTCTATCTCCCGGCGCTCGGCTGTACTGCGGCACAGTCGATCTCACGGCGCTCGGCTGTACTGCGGCACAGTCTAGCTTACGGCGCTCGGCTGTACTGCGGCACAGTCTATCTTACGGCGCTCGGCTGTACTGCGGCGCAGTCTATCTCACGGCGCTCGGCTGTACTGCGGCACAGTCTGTCTCACGGCGTTTAGATGTACTGCGGCACAGTCTATATCACGGCGCTCGGCTGTACTGCGGCACAGTCTATCTTACGTCGTTTGGCTGTAGTGCGGCACAGTCTAACTCCCGGCGTTTTTCTGTACTGCGGCGCAGTCGATCTCACGGCGTTAGCTGTACTGTGGTACAGTCTAGCTCTCGGAGATCTGCTGCACTAAAACTTCCGGCCTTGAGACAGTTTTTCACACGCAGTGTCACACACAGACAGTGAGAGTTTTGGCTAAGTCTGTTTACGTGTAAACTGTACATACGAGCGCATGGCCGCATTGCGGCATAGCTTTACTCCCAGGGCGTTTGGCCGCGCTACTTGGCTCTCCGCCAGGCCTGGTAACAAGGCCAGCCCAGGTATAGCATGTGCGGTGGCTGGACATTGCATTATCGTAAACCGAAATGAACAGCTGCAGTGGCAATATATGTGATCGTTGTGCTTCCAGCAGCATCCACTCCGGCACTCCTGGCCCCATCCAGGAGGCGAGCAAGACGTAATGAGCTTCTCGCAATTAACTTTAGCTGTCCCGTATCGCAGCTGGAAACTTTTTTGCTTTTATCGATATCATAGGTCAAGGTACGAAAGCGAGCCTCATAAAGTGTGCTCCCAATTATATTACTACGGCCATTCCGCTGTTTTATGTGGTCTTGCAACCTGCCAACAACTAAAAGACGAAACACTAAAACATGTGTACCTAATAAACATTTAATTTGCGCGATAGTGAATAGGACAAACAAAAGTAATGCAAGTGCTCCATCAAGCGCTGGTCGGGACATTACACCCTGGGACATAACTACCTTTCTGTTTAACCAACGCCGCAGCTGACAATACACGTGTTTTAGCGATAAGTCCAACGCCACGGCTCAACTTACTGTTATGAATGCGATGACAACCTTCCTGCCGCGACTTTGACGCTCCGTTTGACTGATGGGGTACGGCCATGTATAACAATGGACAGAGTCTGACGTTATGTCTGTGTGGGTTTCAGGAGGCGTACCACGACTGGCTGTGCGCCATGTACGTCCCGTTCTGCGGGTCCGAGGGCCGCCGGCTGCGGCCGTGTCGCAGCCACTGTCAGCGCGTGCAGCGCGTCTGTCCATTCTTCCTGCCGTCGGAGAGAAAATCGGCCGCCACGCAGTACGCCGGCGAGCCCGCCTTCTTCTGCGACGGTAATGTGCCACCCCGAGAGCCCATACCGACGGTAATGTGCCACCCCGAGAGCCCATACCGACGGTAATGTGCCACCCCGAGAGCCCATACCGACGGTAAAATGCCACCCCGAGAGCCCATACCGACGGTAATGTGCCACCCCGCGAGCCCATACCGACGGTAATGTGCCACCCCGAGAGCCCATACTGACGGTAATGTGCCACCCCGAGAGCCCATACCGACGGTAAAATGCCACCCCGAGAGCCCATACCGACGGTAATGTGCCACCCCGAGAGCCCATACCGACGGTAATGTGCCACCCCGAGAGCCCATACCGACGGTAATGTGCCACCCCGAGAGCCCATACCGACGGTAATGTGCCACCCCGAGAGCCCATACCGACGGTAATGTGCCACCCCGAGAGCCCATGCCGACGGTAATGTGCCACCCCGAGAGCCCATACTGACGGTAATGTGCCACCCCGAGAGCCCATACCGACGGTAATGTGCCACCCCGAGAGCCCATGCCGACGGTAATGTGCCACCCCGAGAGCCCATACCGAGCGCCTGATCCATCCGCGGAGAACGCTTACATGACTCTTTGAAGCCTTACCATGGTCACTCGTTTACTGTTGCATTTTCTGCTTTGGTCGTTTCTCCCGACTAACTCTAAAGTCTCATAACTAGTCCTTTGAGTTCATGGTGGTGCAGACTGCAGATTAAATCTAGGGAGCCTGATTCATGAAGGCAAACAACTTGACAATTTCTTTTAATCATTTGACTATCGCAACACCAATCAGATGAGTCACCAGTTACGAAATATTTTACTGACAAAAGGAGCTTAGCGTAGTTTGAAGTAGGTGGAACAGGAAACCAGGAATGCCAGTCGATTTGCTGTGAGGAAAGACGCCTTCTGTGCATTGTGAATTTACCAAAGTTCTCAGCTGATTGCCGGTGACCGTGCCACTGTATGTCCGCCTCTATACCGGTTTGTGTGGCTGCGGCTGAGCTCGGCTCTGTGTCCGCAGACCCCGACATTCCGGACATACCACCGTTCACCACCGGCTCCACGTACGGCGACCCGGACTGCTGTTACCACTCGTGCTGTGTGCGGCCCGACCAGCCCGAGTGTAGTGCGGACACGTGCAGCGCGGCGGCCGCCTGTCCGGGCCAGGCGGGGCCGCCGCCGCCGCCGCCGCCCGCCGCCCCCGCCTCCGCCGGCGCCTGGGCGGTGCGCTTCAATCAGCTGCAGAGACACTCGCCGGCGGCCAAGGTGCGGGTCAGAGCGGCGCGGCGGCGGCGGCGGCACCGGCGCGGCCACGGCTCGGCCGCCGCCGGCAGCCTGGCGGCGCGGCCGGCGCCCTCGGCGCTGCTGACTGCTGCCCTGTGCGTACTGGCCGCCACCGGCCGACACCGGACCAGGACGAGAGTGGCGCGAGACAGTGTCACGTAGCCTCGCGCGTCTAGTGAGTGGCGAGGCTTCCAGCGGCGCGGCGCGGGCGCTGTGGCGCAGTGGATGCGAGGTGTGGCGCGGTGAAGACAAGACGTGGAGCGCCGCAGCTCGGCGCCGGGGCGAGGGACCACCGGCCAGCAACGCCGTCCGCTGGATCGGCTCGCCAGGACCCGCACAAGACGCCACAACACTCTCAGCTTTCAGGCGTACTTCAATTCATGGTGTCATAACCAAAAGGCCAACAAAGTGTTCGTTGTAGGAAATATTTAGTTATTGACATCGTTTGTTTAGATAAGTTACACATTTCTTTCTACGTAGTCATTTGTGCACTGTTTTATACGATGCGGATGAAAATATTTAGATGTGGGACGGGCACATTCAGCTCGCTGCCCCAAAAGCGGTGCTGGACACTGCTAAGGGACCGCAGCTGTGTCCTAACCTGTTCGGATTCGGTCCGAATTTGGTTCAGTAACGGTTCGAAATTCGAAGTTATGGGCTCAGCTCAGATATTTCAGGTCCTGCCCGTACTCCGTCTAGTCCATGTCTGATCTGATCTAATCTTTGGGTCGAGTTTGATCCAGATCTGTCGGAACCGATCCACGTTCGGTTCAGATCCAGTCCGGTCTGGTCTGGGCTCAGTCTGGATCCGGTATGTTTCTGATCCAGATCTCGGTCGGGTTCTGCATGGATTCGGTCACGGTTGGATCTGGGTACTGTTTGGGTCCGATCCAGATCTGGCCTGAGTCGAGTCAGGATCTAATCTAAAATCGATCCGAGTCTGGTCTGTACCCTTCCAGTTCCGATCTAGTCCGGGTTGATTCGAATCTATCCGAGTCTAGTCCAACTGGGGCTGGGTTCGGTTCGGTTCGGTACATGTCCGGTCCAGCTCGGCCTGGGTCCGGTCTGGCTCAGTCCGGGTCCAGTTTCACTCGGCCCGGGTCCGGCCTGGCTCGGTCCGGGTCCGGTCTGGCTCAGTCCGGGTCCAGTTTCCCTCGGCCAGGGTCCAGTTTCCCTCGGCCAGGGTGCGGCCTGACTCGGTCTGGGTCCAGTCGGACTCGGTCTGGGTCCGGTCCGACTCAGTCTGGGTCCGGTCTGGCTCGGTCTGGGTCCGGTCTGACTCGGTTTGGGTCCAGTTTCACTCGGCCAGGGTCCGGCCTGGCTCGGTCTGGGTCCGGCCTGGCTCGGTCCGGGTCCAGTTTCCCTCGGCCAGGGTCCAGTTTTCCTCGGCCAGGGTCCGGCCTGACTCGGTCTGGGTCCAGTCTGACTCAGTCTGGGTCCGGTCCGGCTCAGTTTGGGTCCAGTCGGACTCGGTCTGGGTCCGGTCCGGCTCGGTCCAGGTCCGTTCCGACTCAGTCTAGTCCCATTTTGCGAGGGGGTGTTGTGATACGGGCGGCGCGCATCTGCCGCGGCGGGCGGACCGGCGGGCCGGGGGCCGAAGCGGACCGGCCGGCCGGCGGGACGCCAGGTCCCAGGTACGGGTACAGTGACGCGCGCGCCGCTCTCCGAGTTTTATATTAGACCTGTTTTAGGGCCGCAGCCGCGTCTGGCGCCAGCAGCCAGCGCAGACTGCGGCCACAAACACGTATTTTTCAGCTGCATGAAGTGTCCGGCCGGCTGGCAGTGTCCGCTTGTACGTCAACTTAAAATATTGTGCACAGCTTAAAATTCATCTGTCCATCTCAATCTATGAACATACGTAGCTGCATTAGACTCTCTTCTTTCCCCAGCACTGCGCAGTCTGACCTGAAACATTCATAACGCTCATTAGTTTTACATTAAGGTCTTTTCATCTTAATCTCTCTTTGTCGACAAATGAGCGACCTCGTCAAGTCCACAAAGTTGATGAAGGAACGCATGTAGTAGCGAGGAATATTTGAGTTCGTCGTTGATAACGATATGTCACCAAGGGGCCTCGTTACATTGTGTTGGTACAATCGCATTGGTGACCATTGGTAACCAAGTCATTGTTTGGTCCATCGCAAATGTTCAAGATAGGTATAAATGACAGCAGCGGATTTCATACGGCGTATCATGCAACATTGAGAGATATCAGACTTTTCGAGTTATCTCTCCATCGTTCCCTTTCCTCGCATCCATCCATAACGTATTGTAATGTAAATTTAAAGGTTTCTCTTCAATAGTGTGGCAGTTATATTGCTGTATTGCCCTCCGCCCATTTTCCACTCAGCAAAATATATGAACGTCTGCCTTTCGGAAGTCTAGCGCATCTCACTTAAAGACTTTAACACCCCTGCTTATTTTATAAATGTACCACTTTTGAGATAACCTTCCCACAACAATACAAATTCAGCTTGTTAGAGCCCATGGCAACTTTGGCTACGTTTGACAAGGCCCATTCGAGAACTATCATGAAAATGATGGACGTCCGATCTTGGCTTCCTTTCAATCGATTTCAAAATTCGAGCTCTAGCGCAGGAGTACCTACTGATCAAACACTTTAACAAATGATGTGAGTGGACATTGAACGTGTTTGAGATAGAACACTTTGGTGACACTACATCACACGGACTTCTTTTCTACGCGTGATGTTTATCATCAAGCCTTTCAATTCGATTTGAGCTAACGAAATCAGAAGAAACAAAGTATGGATGGATTCAAATGATTTCATTTTATAATCTCTCAATGACACAGCTTCTATGGATGCCACACGCAGTGTTGGAAAAAATATGCTTTTGACAGTAAGGCCAAAGCCCTGTTATCAATAACGACGGCAGATTATTTCCAGATATAGCCTCGTGTTACCGGAGATACGTCAAATATTGTACTTTGATCTACAGTTACAAAACTAAAGCTGCCAGCCTTCTAAAAGAACAATAGACGGTTTCTCAGAACGGCGGGAGCACACGCTCGAAACGCTCGTTTCATCGCCATTAAAACGCTTCAAATACGATCCGCTTTTATGTCCCGATAACCGGTTTTGGTGTCAAACGAAATGTCTGAAACGCACAAGGGTTGCCAAAGTGAGAGCCGCTCCCCGCTGTTTGGCGAGGCCGCCCAGGGGGTTGGAGCCGCGTGCCGCCGCACCGGCCGCGGAGGGGTCCGGGTCAGGGGTGAGGTCACAGCGCCACGGCGGGCCGATGCGCTCCCCTCCCCCTCCTGACAGACGCCGGCGGGGGGCGACGCAGGCTCGGTGGAAGACCGTCCATAACATTTGAGTTGGTGACGCATTCAGGGACGCGCATGGGATGCCGCCGCATGTTATCAATGTGTTATGAGGTCGTCCGCGCCTGTGAGCGCCACAAGTAAAGTTATTCGCGGGGTGTGACACGCAGGCAGCTCGATACCGTGGTAAACTGCGCCGCTATTCAGATATTGTTCCAGCTTACAGCTCTGGTTCGCTTTGGGACATGGGGGGCGGCAGTCGCCGGGCCACGGGACGTGCGCGAACGCAGGAGAGTACTACTGACCAATTTTGCCTAAATAAACTATGTGACGTTTTGCTTTGAGGTGTTACTGACTGTGAACGGTTACATTTGATTAGAATAACGTTTGGGCAATGTCGTTTTTAGGTTTACATGAAGCCGTTAGTCCTATTCCCCATAGTATTGAACAATGTGATTCTGTGTGTCGATCGTGTGAATCGCTGCAACGTTTGTGAAGTAGATAAAGATGCATTTAATACGATAACCTTTGTTTCTATGTGTGCGGTGCGATGCTGCTGAATGGGGTATAACGCTGGGAAAAGTCACGCCTCCTACTGCATTTGCCACTCCCCACGCTTCTGCTGAGCGGTATGAGAAACTAAAATATCAACCACACTCGACAACACCCCGCAGTTTCACCTAGTGTGTTCAAAATTATTTGTCGTAGCACTACTCACTGGTTACTGACGAATTGTCGCACTGAAAGAGGCTGAGCTTTTAATACGAGGAAAAATCGTAGGTATGCTGTAAAAATCGATTTAGTATCAAAGTGAAATTGTATCTTGATAAAATAGTATTTATCTACTTTACGAGCCATTACGTAAGAGGCTTTGCCATGATTTAATATGCCAAATGAACTGACCAAGGCCTGCACTCGGCAGTGAAACACGAATGAGTTGGACCATAGACCTCTGTATACAGAGGTCTAAGGTTGGACACATCAATGTAGACCTGCCACCAGCCTCAGCAATGGCCTCCACTACACACCACCAGCACACCCCAATCGATGGATGTTCAAAGCATACCAGCCTCCGCGGCACCCTCAGTCATCTCTCCCCGCTGCTAACAGTTTGGCAGATCGTGTTGTTTCGCCGACCGCGGCCGGCCCCAGCCCGGCAGCGCCGAGTGATTACGCTTCAGTCCGCTAGATGGCAGGAGTGGTCGGCGCCTGAAGGTATGCTGTGCCGCAGGGCTCGCGGGGCCGTGCGGAGCGGGAGCGCAGCGTTCGCGGTGCCAATCCTGCTTCTCAAGACCATCCGGCAATCGGTATCCTGTTTACATTATATCCAAGCTGCCGGAATTGATGTGGACATGTGTGTCATTGTTTTACATTATTATCCAAAAGATGTGGCTCGAGTGCCTCAATGCCTATGTTGGTGTCAGTGACCACATTTGTGTTTCAATATTTCTCTCTGTTCGCTGCCTATGTAATTCCTTTTCCTCGATATCTTCCTCTTCCTTACCTCCTCCTCATCAAATTAAGGTAGGTAGGTACCTACTCAAAGGTGAAACATTTTTTTTTCAGTGTAGCCAACACCGAAACTATTTGTGGGCAAGTTCACGGTTGCCGCCCACCGTTACGTGGTCAGACAGAGACAGGCAGACCAAAAGCAAACCTGGTCTTGGTTCCCGCCGGTAGCATGCAGCTGGAGCGACGCCTTCATGGCCGAGTCGAGTTTGCAGCGGCTGATGGGAGCACATCATGCATATAATTTATGTAATTATTTGCATTATATTACATATAATGCTACAATGTGAGTCAGATTTCGCCCAAGGCGGAGCTGCAGCTATGCCTCTGGGAGTCATCGTCTGGCGAAGCCCCGTCGGTATCGGGCCGAATCACTCGCTGGGTTTCCTGAATGGGGGCCGGCGGCACTGGTCAAAGGCGCGCGAAGCCAGCCGGATCTCGTGGGACGCGGCCTAGGGGGACGAACGGACCCTCTCCTGCCCACTGACAGGGGACGGACGGCGCCCGCTCCTCTCCTCTCGGCATAGACGGGCGGCGCGCAGGGAGGGGCGTAGGTATTCATCATCAGCCAGTGGTGGCGGACCAACACTCCTCGGAATGGCACACCGCGGCGGCACAACCAAATACCGACCGGGAAAAAAAGGAAATGAGAGGAGCGAGGTGCAAATGACGACACCCAACTCATAGATCCGAATTGAATAGCCTGTGATTGAAGTAACGTAAGACGAAAGAGATAGTTAGAGATAGCAAGAGAGATAATCACTTAATTTTCCTTTAGGTGCCACCGTGCTTTTAGCTATTACGTTGAGCCAACTAAGATAAAATAAAAACGCCACATCGCGTCCGTAACAGTTCATTTGAAGCGGTCACCATATTTGCGATGGGCGTCCTTACGAGCGCGGCCAGTCTGCTGCGCAGGCCGGACCGATGTCTGCCGGCCCGGCTGGCCGACCTGCGTCGTTTGCAGCTGGGACGACTCAGAGGTCGGCTGCAGGGGTGTCGCAGAATCCGGCCCGGTCAGTCGGCCGGCGCGGCGTCTCTCTGATGTCTCCCCAGCGGCATCCGGCATTGTCGCATCAAACGACGCGGGCTAAAGGAAATGGCTAAACTTCCAGAAAATATTTTGTACAGGCCGATATAAAAACTATGCTTCATTCAAATGTGGAGAAATGACATGATATATTTGAATTTCGGATCAAAACGATAATCACACTTCTGAAAAAAATATTTCGATCAAAGACGTTTTTGAAACTGACGAACCGATTGTTGACTTTGTGTCTTCTCGTAGGTAATACCTATACGTTTTCGACGCAATGCAAATCCACAGAATCTACGAATCAATCCACCATTCACACACTTTCGAAGGGAGGAATCTTGGTTCTGTAATGCCCTGAACATGATTGAGTTGCAAGGCACCCTAAATGGGTGCTTGATGTTGACTGTGCGTTTTAATCTTGTGCTTCCTTATGTGAAGGATAGGCATGTTGCATGAAAAGCTGCAATATCGTTCTGTTGCAAGAACATCTATAAAAAACACCGACAAGAAACAAAGACTGACCCTTTGTATACTTGTGGATCCAGAAAGGCGGTCTTGGACGCCGTGAGGGGGCA